AATAACACGACCAAGGATAATGAAGCCTGATAGGAAACCTAAATAGCCTATTACCAAAGCTATTTCATTAAAACCTGATGGGCAATTGCAGAGAAAGAATATTTTGCACAATTAAGGGTGGCAGAAGCCAGCTAAACACACGGGAGATTGGAAGACAAGGCAAAACTGCAGAGCTGATGCAGAAGGAAGAACAGATTTTCTTCAGATCAGAAAATAATCTTTGAGAAACAGATGAAATAAAAAAAACTTACATACTTGGCCTCTACTTATCAGGAAGTTATATATCCTTCCAAAAAAATTCAGTAAAAAGAATATATGGGTATAACACATCCAATAACTATAATGTATTTTGTGCATTCAAATCTCAGCATAAGTGTTTGAACTTGCAGTATTCTAAATGCTATTTAGATCTTGCAGTCTTTCTTTAATTTAGTGTTTCTGAATGGAATTTCACAATTGCAAAAAAAACACCAAATAAAAAAAACACAAAAAACCCTCCACAAAACCGTACAAAAAACCCCCCATCACAACATCAAAGAGGAATATGTATCAAAGGGGAGTGCTTAACCACACAGATTTCAATACAAAATTCAATATTCCACAAAGGTTTTCATGGATTGATCTCTGGGGACTCAGTCCCCAAAGCAGAATTTAGTACAGAAAACTGAACTTATATTTTACATTGATCTGCTCATTTCTGATTTATTCTAAATCAGCAAGTGTGGGTAAAATACAAAGTAATATTTGATTAAACCAACACTGAAATCATAAGGGATTGTAGTCCATGGTACTCCTCCCTCCCCAGGCCTTTCCAAAGAAAAACCCTAGCTGGAAACACAGTGACACAGTCATAAATAAATAAGCAGTTGCAACATCTTCAAGGAACACTGTCAAAAGTAGCCAGTGAATACAGTATGTTATTCCCAGAAGGCTGAAGGAGTAGACTTACTGAACCTAAAATACAGCTGTCTTACCTAGAAAAATATAACACCAAAAGGAAGGCCACAAGATAAAAAAAAGTTTAAGTTTCTGTTTTCTGCAGCATGACAGATGTTCCAAAGCACGCTTATTGCTCCTTTGCATCTGTAGTTCACTGGACAAATGTGCACTCAATGTTACTTATAGATCTAATGAAGATTAGATCCTCCTCTGTCCTCCTCAGAATGAAGATTTGACACTAAAAATGTGCTAACTAATGCATAAATATTTCTCTTTCGTTTGGAATTTTCAAAAGAATGGTGTTACTTTGAAACGACCATTACAACTACTGGTTTCCGGCAACACTAAATTAATTATGGTACCAGCACGACTGACTTTTCATCTCACTTTTCAGGCCTGAACCATTGTTTTCTCAAAAAAAGCCCCCAAAACTGGAAAACGCCCCCCCCCAAACAAAACCAACAAAATACCAAACAAAACAAAACCCAAAACAAACAAACAAAATCCTCCCCCCCCCCCCCCCCAAAAAAAAAAGCCCACACGAAACCCAGCAAACCCAGAGAGCTGCATTTCCTGTGTTATCTGACTGGTAATGATATTTAAAACTTCTTTTACACTTAACAGCACATTTACTATCTCACAGCATCTAGTCTTCACTCACTTTGTTTATAGAGTCCTCATAAAAACACATTCATCTAAATTAACCATTTTAAATTGGCAGTCAAACAGGTAGGCTAAACCAAAATAAAACAATCCTTAGACACCATTTTGAAAGACATCTTTTTTGGATAGTGGAAACAAAACATAGACTATCTGCTCCCAAGCTACTGACACTATTTACTTTATTGAGAATATTCCCCTGAACTACTTAAAAATCAAATCCATTCTGACACCCATCACCAGCACCTGTTCCACCTCAGTGGTTCATATACTGGATCAAGACCCTGACTCTCTTCCTTTCAAAGCCAAGCCTTCTCTTTTCAGTAGAAAGGAGGTTGACATCAAATATCTCAGAAATGAGGTCCTGACAACTGATACCTACCATTAATTACCCAGGCCTGCCATTTGCATTTAATTCCCTGTGGGAAGGCTCAAGCAAACAAAACATAGCTGAATTAAATGTGACATATGAAGTTCAGATAATAGCACCAAAAGCTATTACCATTCTCCATTAAAGCATTCAGGTTTCACCAGATGGGATTGTGAGGAAATTCCTCTGTAACCACCACAGCATTAAGTACATTATCAAAATTTTATTTCTTCCTCCAGAAAGAAATGTAGCATGAGCTAAAGACACCATTGAACTCTTCTGGTAATGGCAAGACCAGCATTCAGACTTAATATATTGAATGTGCTACTATGACTAGAAGTGTGGGCAACTGGTCTGAATTTCTCAGAACAATCTCATTTATACATTGGCTTTAATCATAAAATAAATTGTTTTGAGATCCCTATTAGCAGTGCATTACAGGAATTTGTGTGCCATGATCTATGAAAAAGAGCTGAGTGCATGTTCTGACAGGCTAGGGAAAATGCAAGAGGCAATTATTTCAATAACAGCAGCACTATTTCTCTAACTGCTTTTATAATACAGCCTGGCCCACGAAACGATAAAAAGCTCTTACAGAACTATGCAGAAAGGGTAAGACAACATTGATAAGGAAGCTTCAAAGGATTTGAGATAATACTAAATGGGAAAACTGGAGACAGGCCTGCCTGGCCCGTCTGAGCCAGGACCCTTACACCTCCCAAAACGAATATCCCTGCTCTCCCAGCAGCACTGATCCAGGTCAAGAGACTACTGTACTGCTGCGTCCCCTTTTTTTCCCCCCAGGGATTTCTTTATTCTCTGAAATCTACTGAAGTAATTACATGCATTACTTGTTTCATAAGGTAGTTTCCAACTATTTAATTTATTATAAACATTAATGGCTCTAGTTCTGGTTTTCTATGTGTGCTTTCTAAAGAAAAACAACACTACCCCAGCTGTGCCAAGGACATCCAACTTAGGGAGCAGCTTCAGGTGTAGATGTGCCAGTGAGGACACTTAAACCCTTAATCACCATTGGTACTGGGGAAGGTTTGTGTGGAGAGAGAATAACAATAAATCTCACACATTTAGTCATATGGGAAAGAAAACTACAGAATTTCACTTCAGGAGCAACTGCAATCTTACATCTACCATGCTTCATACAGCAAAACTATCCTCTTCCTAAAGCAGACAGATATTCACCTGTATGCAGAACAAAATAACAAAAACCAAAATGAGTCACATAAACACATGAAATACATTCTTATTCATGTTTGGTCTCACCCTTCTTTGGTTCACCAAACTGAGGGAATACCAAGAGAGCATGGCCAAAATCCCTGAAAGATGCTCAAAGATTAGACTTAAACAAAAAGCATATACTCTGTCAATAACTTAAAGTATACCAAGGACAAAACTAAAAGAAACACCCTGCTGTAAACAATAAATATACTCAACAACCACTTGAATAAATGTACCAGTGCCTAGCCCATAACTAGAAGTCCTACTTTCCATGATAAGGTTTCATGATTTCCAACAAACAGACTCATGTTGATAATATTAGCTACAAAACAATTAACATAGGATGCCCCTTAAAATATTTGTCTCTTCCTATATAAGAGAACACAGATTCTTTGGAGCACATGCTTGCTATATACATCCAAAATGAAACAAAACTTAGTAACTCTCAATGAAAAATGTAGTTAAATGCGACTATCGAGAAGCTAATTCATTTATTCTTATCATTATGCATATGTTTTCAATAGTGTGAAGAAGTTTGCTGGGGACTTTGAAATATACAGGCTGCATATTTCATTCAAATCCTTATTGTTGATTTAAGATAAATATTTAGGATCTGTAAGAGGAACTGATCAGCTGAAGTTAAGAAGTTGTATGATACCATATTGGGACAAAGCAATGCTTTACCTGTTAGCACACTGACAAACACACCAAGTGATGCTGTTTAGGGAGAGCACATGAGTCTGGCCACTCTCTGCACTCTCTTCTCAGCATCCATCACAGCAATACAAGTATTAAAAGATCTATTCCATTTAGCAATTGTTTTGGACATAAAATCACAGAATCATTAAGGCTGGAAAATACCGCAAAGGTCATTCAGTCCAACTGTTAAACCAGCACTGCCATGTTCATCACTAAACCACGTCCCCAGGTCTGCCACAGGCACACATTTCTTGAACCCTCCAGGGACAGTGATTTCAGCACTTCCCTCGGTAGCCTATTCCAATGCCTGACTGCCCACCTTTTCAGTGAACAAATATTTTCTAATATCAAATCCAAACCTCCCTGGAGCAAATGGAGGCCGTTTCCTCCTATCTATGAACCTGTCCAATCCCTTTTAAAATCTGCTGATATTATTTATCTCCACCACCTCCTGAGCTAAAGAAACACTGTGGCAACCTGCAGAGTTACCAAACCTCATCACACTAATACCGTATGAGTCACACAGAAATTGTGCACCACTACCACCTTGGCTGGGAGCACAGGCAGATACAGACGACTCACTGTATTTAGAGAGAGGCAGTAGCTTCTGTTATACCCAAAAAAGCTTTCCAGACCTGACAAAGAATTTGCGTAAACAAAAGCTTGTCTGCTTTTCCCAACTCTATCAACTCATCTAAAAATATATTCATTCCCCCTACAAACCTAGCAACTATGCACTCTTTGGATAGTTATTCCAGTTCATCATGAGACTGGTAAGGTTCATTCCTCCCCATTGAAATATTCTTGGATATAAATACATGACTGTATCTGATTCGCTTTAATTAAATCTGGAAAAGTTTCCCAAATGTTGAGGAATATATGAGGAATAACTAACTTACTTTTCCTCTTCACTCACTGCCAAATGCAAACAGTTTTCAAAACAACAAAAGCCTACAGAAGGATATACGGGAACAACTCTCCTGCTGACATTTAATGAAAGAGGTTGACAGCCTCTCAAGTTATCATTTAAACATATTTACAACCAACAGAGTTACAACGCAGCTGTTCAACTTCCCTTTTCTCTTTATTTTACCTGTCAAGTCTCCAATGCCTGCTTGTAGCTTCACAAGGCTCCTCAACTTCATAGAAGTCATTGCTCTGGTCTTCCACACTGCTGGAGTTCTGCCATTCAGAGCAGAGGTTTCTCCTAGCACCCATTGCAAAAGGCAAGTTCTCATACTCGGGTATTTCCTCATAGTGACGCACATTCTCATACTCCGGATCACAAGTGCTGGTTACAGAATTCAAAGGCATTTGGGAAAAATTCTCTCCCAAGAGTCCATGTCTTTCTAAAGACTCCAGCCTTTGGTTATTTCGCATCTCAGGCTGACTTCTGTTTCTCTGCCTCTTCTTCTGTAATGCCGGACTACTTATTTCTACGGAATGTGCCTTGGCAGATTTAGCTTTCCTTTCACTGCCTACAGACCCTATATTCCTGTTACTTCCATATCCATCCCCATTGGGAAGGTTGGCAATAGCACTCTCCACCGACTGGCTGCCTTTAGACAGAAATTTTTGGAAGTCACTTTTCTTTAAGCAAACTGACAGTTTCATGTTCAGAAGCTTTTTCAAGCTATTTTTCTTGTGATGGTCTTTGCAGGGCTTGTCTGTCCTGTCCATGTCCACAGCAGAGAGAGACTTGGCCCTAGGCTTCGTCACAACAGTCAAATGGCTGAAGCTGGTGGCAGTTTTTAATGATTCAGAATTTCCTGAAAACGGAAGAATAGGATGAGGCAACTTCCAGACGGGTTTTTCAGAACGTTTGGGTATGTCACAGGACGAAAGTGCATCCTGCTCCTTGGCTCGTGGATGTGCAAAGTGAGATCCTTCTAGAAGGCTGCTCGATTTGTCCTCACTGGAGGTGTAAGAACTTTTGTCCACAAGCTCTGCTGATGCAGCTTTTTTCAGCAGGCCAGCAGCTGGAAGGCCATGCCTCTGTGGTTTCTTAGGAACAACTTTTGGGGAACTCTCATCTTTTATTTTAACTTCTTTATTTTCCAAGTTTTGTGGGGAAACATGGAGACTATTGGGAGTAGATGAGTGCTGACTGCTTGCCAGTTTGAGCTGCTTTGGCAAACTCATGGACAGGGTACCACACCTGACAAAGTCAGTTCTTTTGTCCACAGCACCTGGCATACTGGTGTCGTCCGTTACCTCATCCATGGAGTTATGGTCTGCATTTAAAGAAGATTCAACATGTCTCACCAAATCAGGACTTCCATGTGAAAACTGAGGCAAAATATTTTGTGAAGCTGACTCTTTCCCAGCAGGCTCCTTTACCTGAGGCATTTTTTCTGCATTGCTTTGAGTTACCTCACATTTTTCAGGATGAAATACTTCTGCATTATTGTTATAACAAACACTTTGACCAAGGACATTAATTCTTGCTGGCTTTTTTAAGCTTTGGTCCACAACACCATAAAAATCTTTCTCTGAATTAGATGGTTCCTTTGTTCCTTCTCCTGTGCTGTCTATGCCATCCTGACGGACTAGACATGCAGCACGTGGCTTTCTTGGCTTAGGGATAGGAAGCACTTTGGAGCTCAGCACTGAAGATGTTCCAGGGGAGGCTTTATCAGCATCTGCTTTCATCCCTACTTCACCTGAAAACATCCTAATGCTACTTAAATTTTCATTCTCTAGAGTTTCCTTGTCCAATGAGGAAAAACAACTCTGGTTGTTTTCAGTCAAACTAGGACAAATTTCAGACATCTGAAACTCATCAGCAATAATCTTACCATCAGCATTTTGTTGCTTCCCTTTAGCTACCTCAGAAGATGATGAAGATTGTACAAGTTCCATAAACTCTATTTTAACATCGTTTTTGAAACTGCTGCCATCCCCTTTGTCAAACTTGTCTGAATTCCTGTGCCTCACAGGACTGCTGTTAGGAAACACACCATGAGTTAGGACATCCTTAAGTTTCTCTTCCAAAATGCTGGCTTTCAAAACCACCTGACCTCTACTTGCCAATTTTTCATTATGACTATCCCCCAGAGATAGTGCATTTCTTTCACCAAGCTTGATGTTCTCTAAGGTGTCAAAGTGCTCAAGAATGATCTGAGTTTTACAGGTGTTGTCTCCATTTCCAAGTTTATGAAGGCATTCAAATTTGCAAGGTGACACAGGTAAAATATATGCTGTGCTTCCAGTACTCCCTTCTGAGGTTTCATTTTTATAGTTCAAATGGTCTAGAGTTTGAGAAGAATCCTCCCTGTGCTCCTCAAAGCTTTTTGTGCTCTTTCGTGTAGATGATGGAGGTTTAACTTCTGGGATGGAAGAGCTCTTGAGAACCTTTGGTTTTGGTGCAATTGCTGGCTTGGTTTTCCTTGCTGCTTGTATCCCACCAGAAAGTACAATATCAGGCTTCGGTGCAACAGGTGGAGGTGCTGCCTTGTGTCCTAGGACAAATTTTGGTTTGGGGGCCACTGGTGGCTTCTTAATTTCTAGGAAGGATAGAAAACAAAGACTTTAGTTACCATTGCCCACAGAACAGCTTCACCTGCAACAAGTAGTATTAAAAGTTTTCTAACATTTAACTTGTGATCTAAAAGATCTCAGTATGTGTATGGATATATTTTTCTCTTAAAAGCAGGCCTTCCTTCCCTAACAGCACTCTTTTACTAGCTGCCTTTCTTTCCTTTAATAGGCACATCAAGAAGTGGTAGGGAAGTTTTCAAAGTCTTTTCATAAACAAACAAAGTTTTACATAATATTAGTACATATGCTCCCTCAGATGCTAAAGTCTAATGCCAAGAAAAGCAGAACAGATTTGCCTGGTTTTGCAGTTTTAACTGTAATACCATTTTAAAATGTTGCAAGTATGTTAAGTGCCACATGTACAATAAGCCACAAAGACAATGGGACAGCCAGAATAGTGACCGGGATATTTCAGTCATTTCCTCCACCACCTTGAGAAATGTGTGACCTAAAATTCCTCATTCACTTCCTCTTCTCTTCAAACAACACTGAGATGAATTACTGCACCACTTGCAGAACTGGCATGTCACTACCAACAGTTCAGTTAGCCTGTGGTATGAAGTTGATGCAGTAAGTTGTAGCAAGGCAGTACCTTTCTACTGTAAAACACTACTTCTGTGTCTTGTATAAAATTAGTCTTCCCAACATGTCTGACCTAGAAACAGTCACCACTATTATGAATTATGACCCACTTGGCACAACAAGATGACAAACCCCGGGGAGAGTACCTAGCACTCAGGAAAAGGAGTTCATGAGAAACTTTGAGATTGTGGAGTTTTGATCCTGTTGTTTGAGTGGTTTGGGGGGTTTTTGTTTGCTTGTTTTGTGGTGTCTTTTAAAAAGTATGTCTGAAATATTTTAATATTTCAGGAGATTATTTGTGACCAATTCATTTCCATATGCTGGAATATTTTCAGATTTCTAAGTGCTTTAAGTAGTTTTTGATATATGCAAATTTTACAAGTAAATAAGTTTCTCGTGCTGTTTATGTATTACCTCAATATTTACTAGCCTTGTTTTGATCAATATTTTTGTATACTTTCAGTAAGTCATATACATGTTAAATAACACCCTCAAGAAAACACATTAGTTAATGTTTCACATGCAAATAGATAGAGTAGGCCATGGCTTTATTATTCCCTTTGAAATGTGGGTTTCGTGTTTGGTTGTATTTTACCACCATTATTACTATAGATATGCACTATATCTTAATCTCCAGCCTGGAAATGAAAGATTGAAGTTTAAAAGTTTAGGTTTGTTTTGTGGGGATCTGTTTGTTTGAAGAAAATCTAGATAGGTTAAAAAAAAAAAAAAAAGAGGCAAACGCCCTCAGTTGTAACTATTTCCTAAACAGCAAGCCACTCTCTCTAAGCAGAGAGGCAGACACAGTAAAACCATGTTTTTCTAGGACATGAATCACCAAGTAGTACCCAGACTGTCTCTACCTACACTTAGAATGGCTGCCCTTACATTAGTGAAGAGATAAGCCTCCAATGGCAGTCTCTGATGGCACGGACAATTTTAAAGAAGTTTTTCAAGAGGGAATCCAGAATTTCTTTCCAAAGGTACAGCTCCCTATAGCCACTGACAACAGTGACCCAACTACCCCCTACTGCCAAGGCTATCCTATCCCACCTTCTGCATCCCATCTAAAGGCAGGTTTCCCACACAGAGATGAATCAACAATTTTCTAGGAAAAAAGAAAGTTAACTCTTTAGGTGGGTAACTACTGATTCTGAACAGTAGAAGAGAACTGTACACTCACTTTCAGACAAGTCAACTGCTTATTCAGTTACAATACGAAGTGATGGCAATAAAGGACCCTGTGTCCCATGGTAAAAAAAACAAAGAAGGGATGCCCAGTTTGTCACAGAACACAACACAGTAGTAGAGCTGTGCCATGTTCAGTAATATTTACTAAGTTATTAAAGTTCCCTGGAAACAGGAGAGAGACAGGTGCTTTGGACCCCTTCCTGATGCCTAAGTGAGAGAAACAGATGGGAAAGATCCAGGAGATTAAACACTGACTAAGTAAGCAATATCCTGTGAATTATTTTTCCCACACACAAACTTAAGTCCATAACCTTGGAAGTTTTTCTACAGTGGGAATGCCTAACGTTTTGGATACCATCAAACTAGATTACTCTTCAGGGCTTTTAACTTTATTAGGGAGCACATTCAGAAGCTAAGACATGACACCGTTACCTGAATATAAACTCTCAAAAAACCCCATCATTTTATTAAACCTAAACCATGAATATGTAAAGAAAAGCAAAGCAAACAGACCAGTGGTTTGTAAGCCAGTGGCAGAAACCTGGATAATGAACAGAGCAGAAAAATTCACTTCTGGTAATAATGCAATTCAATGTGATTTCTGAAGCCCGTTAGAATTTTTCAAATTACTTCAATGTTAAAAAGCATTGAGACAGACAGAAGAGACCAGCAAATTGTGAGGGATAATAAAGACACCACTGTCTGCTTTTAACTGATTGCACATTACATCTAGAGTAGATATGGGTCAATGTATTAACAGGCACATTACAGTCTCGTATCAATACAGATCTGGAGTCAAACACTCCATCAGAAAGGAATGTGATGAAGAGTCCTTTCAAACATAAATGTGATGTGAGAGGAAAGACTCCAAGAAGGGAATGCATACCAGTAGTTTTCCTCAACAAAATATCTTTAAGCTTCTGAAGAATACAAGCAATTAACTACTTAGAAAAAAATTATAGCAGCTGACAAGGGTAAAAGTATAGTAGATTTACATTAGAAATCAAGAATTAAAGTTCAGTTGCTTATAAATTAATTCAATTTAACTAATGAAAAACACAGTTCTACATAACAGTGCTCTAAAAGGGACAATTTCCCATCCAGGATAGAAAGAAAACTAAGTAGGAGGCAACTGTTATTTATAAAGGTGTAAGGAATGACTGGAAGTCATATGAGAATGACTTTTTGTTAAATGGCAAGCATTAGCAAGGTGAAAAACAATAAATATAATCAAGGAAATATTACAGAGCAAATGCATGGGGTAATTAGCTGTTTTGGACAGCGAGCTTTTTCCTGGTGCCATATAGAACTAAGTATTCATCTAAGGACAGAGATGGCTGGTTATGCTTAGGAGAGTAAAAGTTAAAGAGATTTTGGAAATCACTGCATGTAGTTATTTTATGAGAGCTCCATGCAGGTATGAAGCTAAGCAGTAAATAATCTGGTAAGTATAAAAGATGAAGGGAGTTGAAAATATTTCTGTACATAGCACCTGCCAGACTGTTAGTGAAATGCAATATCACCTTCCAGCAATTTCAGAAATAACTGCAGAATCATCCAAGGTCTAAAAATTATGCTTCAAATCCCAAGGAAGCTCATCCTGGTTAATTTATCCACGAATTTAAAAACCAAGATGGTAATAAAATATGTATTTATGCACATGTGAAAGGTTTTTGATAACATATGGCTCTTGAATCACAAAAAAAACCCCGGAACCAAAACTGAAAAAAAACCCCTAAGCCCAATGAGATTCCATAGCTGACCACTAAGGTTTGACAAGCTCAAACTAGAAACAAAGCTTTAAAATTCTTATGAAACCTAAGGGATAATTAACTACAGAAACATCTCACCTAGTATTGTGAGGGAGCTACAAGCACTTACATGTTGGGGAAGATGAAACAGAAAAACTTTATAAATATGATTGCCTGGCAAAAGATTTTGAAAATACGGAAACTAAAAGCAAGCTTGAAATGAAAGCCATCTTTGATACACCAAACCTTAGTTACTGAACAACTAGAAAACAATAGTATGGCCAACTGAAAGTAATCCCCTTTTGATTGAACAATTCCCTCTGCTTGCAGACAGGTCCAAGGGTCAGACAAGACCCTACTAGCTTGGCAGAGGGGGTCCAAAGAGTAGTTTTTAGGGTTTAAAGTGTAACACAGTATGATAATGTAATAATTCTTATAGGCTGTATGTAAATGCTACAGGATTTGTATCTTATATTAGATTGGTTAGTGAAAATTAGAATATTCAACACAGAAGAAGATTTATTGTATTGTAACAGGAACCTCACTCTCTTACTCTCCTGCTCTCACAGGCCTGCTCCGAGCTGTGGCTGGCAGCTCCAAGCAGGGCTCTTTTACCCACACCCTTTGCAATAAACCACAAGTTCCAACACCTGGCTTTAGAGACCTCTCCCTCAGTCCTGACTGCCCTGACCACCGTCACCCCTACAGTCTGGCACCCAAAGGTGCTTCAAGGGCCAGTTCAGCTTCCATCACTCCTACACTTACAGGCAACTTAAACTCACTTTCTGACACTTGTAGAATTTTCAGAGGAAGCTTTGGACTGGACATTGGATTCTCTAGCCTGTCTTACTTAGGAAATTATAGAATCACTATGATTTTCCCACTCCCACCTCCAACCTTAACCTAATTCTCAAAGAGAATTCCTGCAGCCAGGGATTCCAATAATAAATGCAAATCTGAGAGTAGAAAGATAAAATTTTATTTGCATAAACAGATTAATTGCTTAGGAGCCAGAGAAACTGTCAAAGAGATATCCTCCAACCTGTTTGACTATGCAAAGGAAGAAATCCATAAATAAAGTGACTAGTGATGTTGCCATCACCAACTGGAAATCTGCTCACGTAGGAACAGCCAATACCATGCTCAGTGCTGAAGGAAAAAAAGGAGCTTAAAAATACCAACATCTAACCCCTTTAGAAAAAGTAGATTCAAAAGTGCATTCTTTTTCTAACAACAAATTGCCATTAGCACCATCTATGCAGATCACTGCACATGCTCTCTGACTTCAGGTCACAGCACGGAAAACAGACGTTTATCTCTGGGGTGAATTATGTCCTTCAGCATGCTGAGGAAAAAGCAACACCCGTTCTCATCCTGCTCATGATCTCCTCTGTGACCAACACTTATTGCTTGACTGGTAAGTGCTCCTGTTCTTCCTTTGA